CGGGTCTAAAGTGTACATATACATGTATATATTTGACAGATTCTGTTAATACATGTATAATAATAATGTATTCAAACAGTGATAAAAATTGCATGTCGACAAAAATGACACTTTGGACTTTGAGATGCTGTCACGACGATTTAATTACCGGAATGTGGGTATAATTTAGAATAGTAAATGCACACTTGGTGACCTAAAGTTTCTATGTTGAAACCTTTAAAGTCTGCATATATTTAATGTTGGTGAGACTGGTCCAATGTTTCAGCTCCAAACTTAGACCGGAACTCGTGTAAGGCATTTTTCAAAAGGCTTTTAAATTTTATATTGTTTACAGATACCATGTACTTTAAATCGTCCAGCTACAGAATATAAAAATACTGGTATTTTCGTAGAATGTTGCTATATCTAGTGTTTTATATGGTATGGATGCTACATATGTTGTACATTAATATAATTAGCAACCCAGTCATAAAGATGACTAAGTATAACATTATGTATAATGCTTCACAGAAGGAATATTTGTTCTTTCTACATAATTTGTTCAATATACTAAGAATAGCACATGACATTATAATACAAAAGCTGTTCTCCTATAATGAATTTTGCTACAGTATTATGAAACAAGTTTGCTTCTTTAAAAAGAATCATGCGAGAGGTCTTTTTGCGTTGTGGAAGATTTGTTTAATTCGAAAATATTTGGGGATATTCTTGCATAAAAGACACAATGAGTGGTTATAAATTACAATTAGTTAACAAAATAGAATTCATTATATATATTGAATATAGTATTATACTGAAAGTTTGTTTTACACTTCATTTTTTAAATGTTTTGAAAGATTATATGCCGGAGAAATGTACTTTTTTCTTGGCGCATTAGGGATAGTTTTTTTACAAAGAGAACTAAATTTAAAAAAATGATATATATTAAAAGTATTAATAATCAAAAAGTTTCTTGTAAAATTCAATAGGCAAAAATTCCCGGTTAATGTTTTGGAAAGCATATGGAAACATTTCCTCTACATTTTCCAAAACGGGCATAAAGTATGTAAATCAAACAATTTTAAGTCAAGGATTTACATAAAAAATGTTTATATCATTTGATTTGAATAAACAGTATATAAAGCTGCATGCCTCCAACCACAATATTTGACGAAAATCAAACTTTAGTAAAATTTGTGCCATTTGCGCCAAAAAATCACCGTTGCGTTATTTTTTAATGACACTATAAATTAGATTAAGATGACCTATTATAGTGTGTAAAATTTTACGGCATAACATATCTGCTTTGTGTAAAGTCAAACATGTTTATATTATTTTCAAAGATATTGTTTAGCAATTATCAATATTTTTTAATATCAAAATTGAGCTTGTATCATAGTTTGGGGACCTTTCTCAGAGTTAAATCGTATATATATATATATATATATATATATATATATTATATATATATATATATATATATATATATATATATATATATATATATATATATATACATGCACAGTGCGTTAACTGGAGTGCAGGTATTAGTTACCCGCACTCCAGAGCATGCCCATTGATTGGTTCATTTTTGCTAAGGTTTACATATTGTGACGGCAGAGAAAGGGAAAGAGACAGAAATATCATATTCAGATGTTCGTTCATTGGTTTCGTTTTGCCGGTGTTTCATAGTTATTGTGACAATAGGGAACGTGTTTTTATGTTTGACTATGATACAAAAGAGAAAGAACGTCAAAACACTCGGCAATCTGATTAATACTCGGGGGCTACGCCCCCGAGTACAAATCAGATAGCCTCGTGTTTCGATGCTCTTTCTATTACTTGTTTCACAATCGTTTGTAATATAGAAAAAAAACATCATTTGGCTTTACACAAAGTAGATATGTTATACTTTAAATCTTACACACTTTAAGTGGACATACTATGAATATTTAGTGTCATTAAAATGGCAGTTTTTAAAGAAAGGCACAACTTTACTTGACTCGTAATAAGGAACTCAGATTCCCATACATTGTTTGTAACTATGTGTTTTTATTTAAATAAGAGATATTCAGTTTTATAGATATCAACAAATTTCTGCTATAAAAGATGTCTGGAATGATGCACATAGTATATCTTCAAATAAAACTGAAAATTAGCTCGATACCTCTGATAGAAAAAAAGAACATGCATTTCCAATTCTACGACATTTTGAAAATTGAAAACTTCTTTCGATACATTTGAACTTTTATAAAGAGTGTATGAAGAATCTAAGCGATAGTTGTTCAAAACATTATGACCCTTAACATTTTAACGGCCGTTTTCATTACCATTTTCACAATATTTTCCGATATGTTCTTCTCTTTCAACTGTCTTTAATACACTGTCTAGAAGAAAAACAATATATAAATTACGTGGCGTTGTAACGACAAAGTGACGAAGACCCTGCCCATCAGCCCTAATCTTTTCGTGTTTAATTTTTTTTATAGATTTATATTTATTCTTGTATTATTTTTATTAATTTACTTACTGACTGACTTACATATATACTTACATACTTACTTACATTTCATTATTTTGCTGTATTTTGCACCATTTTGTTTCTCAATAAGTGATAGTCTACTATGTTTTACTGTTTCTACGTTTATTTTTTTCTAGTTAACCGTTCCATAAAAAAATTTAAACATCTGTGTTTTAATTCCTTTATTATTTCAATTGGTGTATTTGATAAAACTGTAAGAGGATAAATCAGCTTTGGTAATGCGAAGGATTTAATAACAGTTACCCTTCCTAGTAGTGTTAAAATGTAGTTTGCTAGTAATTCAATACATATTATGAAAAGGGAGATGAAAGCGGACAGCCTTGCCTGACTCCACGGAGTATCAAGAATGATTCTGATAGAAAGCCGTTATTAATTACCATGCTGCTTATGTCGTTATAAAAAAGTTTTACGCATTCATCAGACATTCACTGAAAATGAAATGTTTTAAACAATTCATTATATATTCATGATCAATTATGTCGAAGGCTTTTTTCAAAATCTGCGATTAATAAAGTCTATTGTTTGATAAATGAGACGAACATTTTTAATTCTAACTTAGACTCGGATCAAAACATATCCGAAAAATGGTTATATTGTTTGGTTATTTAAACTTTGAATGGTTTATATGAACTAAGTTCATATAAAAATGCTAATGAAAAAAAGTTTGTATTGTCTTCATGAACACGTAGCGTAAAGATTAAAGGTTTGTTTGAATGAAAATTTATGTGATTGGATTATATGAACTCAAAAATTCCATTATTATAGTTTCAGAAAGTAGCTCTAATAATACCCCTATAAATTAATTTCTGATTGCCAAATGGCTTGTTTATATAAATTTAGATAATACTTTATGATATGTCTTTGTGCATTTCAAATCAACTTATACGAATTTATAAAATATTATACATGTATTGTACATCTTCGTGAATTTCAAGATTTGTTATAATGTTTGTACGTGAAATCAGAAAAAGTTATTATGAAAGAAATTATGTAATGAAAGAAATTATGTACATTGTATAATTTATTATGTAAATCTTATGATATTTTAAATGTAACTTTATATTGAAGTTTATGAAAAAACTAAAGGAAATGATAAAGCGAACATTTTAGCTCTTAATTTGCAGTGTATGGAAATGGTTTTGAATTCGGAGCATTAAGTCAACCTCTCCTATCAAAAAGTAGTGCAGAATGGCCTGGCTCTATACTGGTGGCGAATGCCAACTACTTTCGGTTGCAGTTTGGGAAAATTTAAAAAAAAAAAAAAAAAAAAAACATTGTAAATAATTAAATTCAGTCTTGTATCAAAAGAATTTCATACAAAATTCTTAAACAGTAAATAATAATGTGGACATACCAAATATTTTCATTACAATGATAGTTATGAAAATTATACTCATATTCATAGCGTAAGTGTCTGTTAGGTCTTTTATTTATTTTGATTATATCATCATCCGACAAGTCATTCGTTCGTATGACTTATTGCTTACTCAAAATAACGTGACAAAGCAACTTTGCTAACAATTAGCGAGAATGTTTGTTGGAGATCTTCGACACATTGGATGGCATGCCATACCCCTTTTTAACAGAATTCATTCAATTCAATTAAGGTTGTGAATGCAAAAAACAAAATGATGTTTAAATAAGTCCAAAGGGTTTTGGGCTTTGAATTCGTCTGTGACAGAGCGTGCGTTGTTCCACTTTGAATAAATGATAATTAACTAAATCTGTCGAAAAATAAATTGCTTTTAATATAAATTAAAAATAAGTTACGTTAAAACTTTATAGTTATTTCATTCCCCTCAAAGACTGCATCCTTGCCCTTGTCTTTTGTTAGACTCACAATCATAGAAAATCATTATTCGTTCATGTCTGGTAACAAAATTCTTTTTATGTTTTGTTTTTGTCTCGTATTGTGTTCAAAAGACCACTGTGTAGTCAAATGAAATCAAACAAAGTAAACTTTTAAATACGTTTCAACAAAGGTTAAGATTACATTAAAGTTCTCTTTTTGTTTTAAAATCACATTCATTAAAATGTCTCAACATTGCTTTTTATTCATGCTGATTGAATGAGTCGTATGCACGCTGAAATAACTTCTACAGGTCGTTTGCGTCACTTATATCGTAGAGTTGATCATTTCTCTGGTGTACATATTAGGTTTCATTATTAATAAATAATCCAATTTATATATAAAAAACAGAATATACAGTTATTTGGATTATCACATTATAACAATTCCAAGCATTTGTGTTTTTTTGCTGGGTGTTACGTCGCACCTACACAGTATAGTTTATATTGCGACTTTCCAGTTTTACTGGTGGAGGAAGACCTATATATGTTGCCTTTTTGCAATTTTACAGACACAAAGGGTACCCGAGTAGAACCACTGGCGTGAGCTAGCTGGATAGCTTTCTCACATGAAAAAATTCGAAGACCCTGACACGACTTGAACCTTCAGAGGTGTTTCTAGGTTAATCTATTCGTTAAATACTTTTATTTCTTATTTAGTATCAATTTATTACATGGTGAGAAAAGCGAATGATTTTAAATATCTGTTCACGAAGCACGACAGTTTTTTATTCTTAAGTTTAAAATGACATTACATACTATGTTTGTGATGACTGAGCAGAATTCATTTTACATTTTCCTTCTTATCTAATTCATGCAATATGGAACTTTCCAAATTTAGCTGTGAAAAAGTAAGCCCTGCTTTTTTCTGTTCATTGCTATGTCAATTGCCCACAAACAGTGTCACAAACAAAACCATAATGGTTGCGTGGCGGAATGGTTAACACGTCGTCGGACTAGTAATCTAAAGATTGTCGACCGCGTGGGTTCAAACCCTGGCAGGGGCAAGCTGTTGTTTCATTAACCAAGAAACGTTACATTCATTGTTTAGAACTGGCTGGCTCCATGAACGGATTCGAGAGTGTTTCAAAAAGGTTATAGCTTCCAACACAATCGAACTAATATAAAATTGTATAAACTTAACAAAACCATGATTGTGTTCCTTTGTGTAAATATATATGGAAAAAGTGATCCCTCGGAATCATTAAAAACAGCAAAATTACATGAAAATTGCCTACTCGGTTTAATTGAGTCTGTACCAGCTTAACTTGTAGCTAGGTATTATCTCAGAGTATCCATTACACATCCATTTAGTCAGTTTGTATGAATCTATAAACACCAGAAAAGAATATAGTGATAAAACAACATGGCTGCAGATATATGAAGTCCACTGATTTACAGGATTGTTTTCATTTTTAAACAAGCAGTCTGTCATTTCCAAGTTTTTTGTTTTATTATCTTGCAATGATAATAATTATTATAAGCCACCTAAGCAATATGTCGCTCTTGTTATATTGATCTCCTTGGAAACTGAAGAAATTCTGTAAAATTTAGTATTTTTATTATTTGCAACATGTATATGTACATGTAAAGCTAAGTACTGAATTTGCCCATGTAATACATACATGGTATATAGGCCCCTTTTTAAGATAAGAGAGATACTTGGTTATATGCTATTTCTTTAATGATAAAACATTAAAACTATAGTACAATGTTGTTAGCATCATTCATATGATGTTGATAAAACTTTAAAGATCACTATTTAATATAATAAAAATGAACAGTTACCGGGGGTTTAAAACATAAAATGTTCCGCTAGATACAGTTCAACTATTTATACACTAAGTAAAATTGATGCTGGTCTCTTGGTGACTTAAGATCTATTCACAATGATCAGTAACCTTGGTTTATTTTGGCTTTCTTTGCCATCTCTGAAATAGAAAAAAATAAACATATGTTAATATATATTATGATACCTTGCAAGCATGGCACATTACAAAAACAGCAGACAGTTTGGCCCGAGAGGAAATAAAAATCTTATGCAAAATCCCTTACAACACTAGCATTCGTTGATCAATAGCATATTTCCATTGCAAATCAAAATAGGAAAAACGTATTATTTTATAGCCAGATGCCTTTTTTTAAATTTTGTTTACGCGCTTTTTCAGAGCCCTTCAAATATATATGTACAAATTTGACATACAATTTCACAGTCCCTTATCTCAGTCCCTTATGCTTGTCCTTATCAGTCTAAACATGGACAAGTATTTGAGAAAAAACCCACACAAACAAACAAATTAAACTCCTTCTTTCCCCTTCCCCTTAGTTTTCGGTCAATTCTGTCAGTTCCAGTGTGGCGTGAATTTTGTCAGACCCGGATTTATATGTATACCTATATTACTTTTTATCATTGTCGTGTATATATGTACAAAAAACTTATTTTATAAAACAAACAATTGTTCAGTTGTTTTAACTTTCTACTGTAAATTCGAGAAATAATGTTTTTATCATTATCAGTAACAATACAAGTTCATATGCGATCTGCACTCATAGTTTGCATCATCCAAGGTATATCTGGAGTCCATGTGCAAAAACGATATGTATCCAAATCGTTGAAAATCTTGCTTAAGCAATTTTTGGAGATAACAAACGTTGTTGAACAGTAACATTCTACAAGGATGATAAAATTGTATTTTTGGAGCTGTATTTACGTCAAAAGTACAAGAAAGTATTCAATACCTATAAATGCTTTTTTATGGTTTAAGAAGTATGAGTTCTAGCTCGCCATTCATAACAAATGGTGCGTAACAAATATAATGTAAAAGTTTATTTAAGGAACATGACAAATACATTTATGAACATAAAATTTATATTGTTATCGCCCTGATGACCAGTTTACTGATATAAAACAACATGGAAACATTAACATATAAATACATTACCACATACGCAGATCTCAAATTATACGCTCAAATAAAAAGAAACATTCAACGTATGTACTGAAAAACGTCAAAAATTGTAATGTTTATATAGTGTAATGAGACTGCATGCGTTGTATTTAAGAACAAGTGTATATACATAAATAATACATGTATATAATAAAAACACAATTACTGTGCGGATCAAATGTTATAATTGTAAAATTTAAAGTTGTAAGTATCTGCACATATGATGATAGCTTGAAATATTACAGAATACCTTGTTTGCAAATAACTGAATATTTTGTGTGACAGTCTGCGTCATGCCAACGATTGGCTTGATGGATGCTGTATACAACGCAATTCTGCTTTGTACTACCGTCAGGTTGACCTGAAACATTCAATATACATGTATATTTATATACATTTTTTCAGATTATCAGGCTGATGATTTAAGCGAAAGCGGAGTGAGCAAATGATATGGAACTTTGCATGACTCGTATGTAACATCGCACTTTGGGATCAAAATCGAGAAATAAACCCAAAAGTGCGTTCATATGCTACATTTGTACATGTCAGCGCGCTTTGGGTTCCCCAAGTTCTGAGATAGCTTAATTACAGAGTACAGACTTATTTTTTATCTGTAACATTAAAGGTGACGGTCTATACTAAGACACATCGTTGTGTAATCAAATACTACTTACTTAGTGCCATTTAAATTCTGAAACAGCAGTCATATAAAAATGTATATGTTGCTTTTATTAGATGTAACAGAAGTTTTGAGAATTTTGCGACTTTAAATATTAAAAATGTTACTATATTACTAATTATTTAAATTTTAAATGCATTCCTATAAAAAACAGAAGTTTAGAAGACCTTTCCGTTGTGTCAGCCATGTACTTGATGAATTTTGGTGCAATGATGAACCGTAAAATTAAATACGATGTAATAAAGTGCAGTGAATACATGTATCATCTCATTGCATCTTTTTTTCAAACAATTAAATTTCTGTTTAAATGATTTGTATCAAGAACGTTAGAAGAAACATTCTTCATAGTTAAGTTACGCGAGGGCTACAGCTGTAATCCATTTCAAGCCTATTTCACAATTTGTGTGTTTCCTAGATATGTGGACCACATGACAACGCTTATGAAAAGGTGTTTGTCGAATGCTATCTTATCTGTTCAATAAACAATATATATAGTTTAAGGGTCATTCTTTAAGGCTACTATTCCATGAAACACATAATTGTATATGAAATTTATAATTTATTGGAAACAACAATTGCAACAATTAGATGTACAAGAGCCGGCTGAACCGGGCGATGCTCTCCGAAAAGGTTTTAAAAAGTAGTTTCTTGTTGTAACCTCTTGTAGTTTCACAGTTATGTCCCGGACAAACTTCAAAGTGTAAAAGTGCAAAGTGTAAAAATGAAACATTCACTTTAATTCATTTAATTTTTACGATCACGAAGTGCGGTCGTTTGTGTGATGTCAAAAATTGCATATATACTTGTGTAACACACTCTAGGGTCAAAATTTGACCCCAAAGTGCGTTACGCATTATGGAGTTGGACCCTTAATTAAGTACGTAACGCACTTTAGGGCCGAACGCCAAAGTTCGGTTGACCACAAAGTGCGGTGTTATACACATAAGTTATTGGTCTAGATCTAAATTAAATGAAATATTAATCTTGAAAAAAGTATTTCCAGTGATGCTACCAATCAGAAAAGAAGCAATGATGAAATATCTAGATAATTGCAATGTCATTGTGTTTTAACAGCTTGCGTGAGTTTAAATCTCCTAAAAAAGTAACCAATGTTCGAGCATCTGAATATGACTTTTCTATCGTTATCTCTTCTTCCCCTGTCTTGGCAATGAGTAAACCTCAGAAAAAATGAGCGAATCAACGAGCATGCTGTAGACAGAGAGTGAGTGCGGGTAACTAATACCTGCACTCCAGTTAACGCACAGTGCATGTATTGGTCTGACGTTTTTCAATAGTAATGTCTCCAAACTATTATACAATATAATGAGAAAATACTTGTATGCAATATTTTTAAAAAGGATGTATTAAGCATATACCTTGATTCCATTTAATAAAATTTGCAGGAGCACTTGTGTCTGTCCATTTCCAATATCCTTCTGATTGTTGGTCATTCAATCCCATCCACCAGCTTCTAGTTGCTGTAAAATGAATAATAAATATAATTTCAAATTTCAATATCGGTTACATCAGCAAACCTAAATCCTAAATATGAAACAAATAATGAATTTATAATTATATAATAGATTAATAAGTTTGTTTAGTAATATACATTTGTATAACATCTCATTATTTTGATTTCTATTATATATAGAGGATATTGAATGAGTGCAAGTTTAATACTAAATTTTTTGAGTTGAATTAAAGCATATTATGCGAGCCTCTGGCTAATTTAGTAATGAACTTACACGAATTCAATTCTCTAGTTATCACATACCAAAAATATACATTCTTTGAAGTAAAAAAGAACCATTTTTCATTGGCGCGCCTATAGTATAAGGCTAACATTTAAGCGCGTCTTAACGCTTTGGTTTATAACTTTAAATGTTGAAATTGACATCACGAAAAAATATTATTATGCACAGCCATGCAACATTATTTTCAGAGTCGCACAAGCGCATGAGTATGTGATAACTAAAATAAACATGTAAATTTACGATCTATGATAAATCTACAATTGGCATTTTCTTTGACATTATGACCCTCTAATTTCTACGGAATTCCATAAACGACAGCTTCCTGCATGCTTACTGCCTAGTGCAAACTGGACAGCCTGCTGCTCATTGCCTACTGCTAACTGCTTAATGACAGTCTAAGTCTATGTATGAATCAGTTACGAAGTATTCAGAACGTACACACAGGTTCGCCCGCCATTTTGTGGAAAATAATGGTAAGTAAATTTAAAAGGATTATTTTATAATTAAGCCTAATAATTTGTCATTTCGAATTCATTGCAAAGACTTGTGTACGTCCCACCACTTTGATTATGTTATGAAATGGTTCCACGTGCTTCACTGCACAGGTTCCACGTGACTCATATGACTCAGAGAAATCAACTTATTAATAAATTATTCAAAAAGACTATGTGTCCAACATTCAAAATTAACCTTTTACCCCATGAGCATATTGAGAAAAATGGCCGTTTTCATCGAAAAGCCTCCTGTTACAAGTTCAAACTGCTATGAAACTATGAAAAATGTTTCAATTCTGATGAAACTTGGCACAAAAGTTGACTGGACCATAGCCTCTGTAACAGCATGCTCAATCGTAAATTTCCTGTTACATGGCAACGGGGACGTCTCAAAAATACGAAAACTCACTATTTTGCATTGTTTTTTTCCATCAAAACTGATTTCAAAGTGCTGCAACTTCTCAATGAATTGAGATAGAGTAAAAGGCTTTAACAGCGTCGGTTACTCGTTACCCTAAGATCGACCTGAGGCCATTTTTAGCCTGTAACATGTCCAAAATTTTCTTTGCGATGAGGGGGTCTACCGCCCCCTTCAAAGCCGAAAAAGTGGTCATTTTTTTTACAACATTTCTCAAACGAAAAACAGTGTTTGGGGCTAAATAGGGGATTTTTTTCATTGTTTGAGGCCTCAAAAAAGGGGGTCAAAAAGCCGTCAAAACACGTCTATATCAGGTAAAAGGTTAAAGGGCTTGACCCCACTACAGTGGTTGAGAGGCGGACATCTGGACTATTATGTCAACACAATATTTTTGTTTAGAAGTCAGTTTTGACAATATAATACATGTCTAGAAGAATATCTGTAAATGTACTGGTAAAATCACTGGTGAATTTTAGGCTAAACATCCTTGTATGTCATAATAAAAATGTGCGAGTTCATTTACAGATCATTTTGGTTCTTTTTACATTGGCTGATAGTTGTGGAGTATAAATGTATAATTCCCTATGAGATATGACTTGTATGTAGTACATTTTGTTAAGTTGATTGTACACTTGATATTTTATGTTGCAAAGATATGTGCTTTGAAGGTTAATCATAGAACAAATTTTATTTTAGTACAGAGGAGGATAAATCTGCCAGAAACATTTCAATGGTGGAACAGTATACTTCCATCCTGCTCCAAATTTTATTTCACAAATGAGCCGCGTCACGACAAAACCAACATAATGGGTTTGCGACCAGCATGGATCCAGAACAGCCTGCGCATCCGCGCAGTCTGATCAGGATCCATGCTATTCGCTTACAAACTCTGTAATAAGTAGAGAAACCGATAGCGAACAGCTTGGATCCTGATCAGACTGCGCGGATGCGCAGGCTGGTCTGGATCCATGCTGGTCGCAAACGCATTATGTTGGTTTTGTCGTGACGCGGCTCAAATGTATTGGTTCTTTTAGACGAGTTTAACTAGGCTTCTAAAAGCATAAACAAAGACAAACCTGGCTGTACTCAAATTGTATAGAAAAGGTTCAATATTTCATTGAAATAAAAAGAGTGCAAACATGAAGTGATAAATTCTAGTCTGGATCAGCTTATTTTACTTTTATGAAAAGCCATCGTTAACCTCTTGTTTAAACTTAATTGTACTATTGAAAAACTCTGAGCAATTATAGATTTTTAATTATTTAAATTTACTGAAAAATAATCTTTGTGATAGACAAAATGATCATATTTATGTTACAAAAAAAATTTGATGTGATTTTTTTTGTTTTGTTTTTTTGTTGTTGTTGTTGTTGTTTTTATAAATTTTATAATTAACTTGTAAGCTTTGTTTTTTTAACAAGCACAATAAACATGAACTTTAAATGCGGTTATTTTTCTATTCCTTTTTACAATTACCACAATGAGAAAATCTGCTTTCGTATTTGCCAGAATCATTCCATGAACGTTATTACTATATTTGTCAAGTTTTTAGAGGTTTGACAACAAAAGTAAACAGTTCTAAGACATGAAGATAATGTAGAGCTTCCACGGTATGATATGAAGCATTTTAAGTTACCTTTCTTATTTCGTGTGTATCACTTTGTATTGCAGAATATATTTACATTAATACAATATCATAACAAACATAATATTCATAACAGAACTTTAATTATAATTCTGCTTTTATATTGTTTTGCAAATATTTTTATAGGTACGTTTTTTGTACAGGCGTCTCATAATTTTTATGTATACAAAAAAATATTAGCTTACAGGCCTCATTATTGGGACAAGACATACTTTTTATGTGGTGTTAAAATACATAAGTGCATGTATTTTGTTTTTCGTTTTAATTGTTAATAATAAAAAACTTCTTGTAAAATAAAATATCATAATTTTCTTGTAATTTTGTTTATGTTTAGCTCCCCGGAAAACACAATTTTGACAAATAAATGATAAGTCTAAATTACTGTTAAATGCAAATTAAACACACATGATGGTTATATATATGTTAAGCATAAAGCAAAGTTTGTTTGTTGAATGCTATGACATGGCCATGTTGGTATCAATATTCAACATTTAAAAAGTGTCTTAGTCTATTCATGGGATCGTGAAAAGTATGTATTAGGAAGATGAAGATTATGTAATATTAGTCCCATAAGAAATCTTTGAAAATACATCTGAATCTCCAATATCTGGCAAGTTAATCCAATATATTTCTTCAAAACAACTTTACAAGTTAACCTGAACACTCTTCTCTTAAGACAATGAAATAAAAAGACGGACGTCCAGCAATTTATTGATTAATGAGTATGTTTTCTTATTCTGCGGTTTTAATGCCCTTTTAACCAGTTATAAATCAGAGTGCATGTAATATAGGCAATACTGCAAAGACTATAAGACATTACATGCGGAAGGCATTACATGGACTCAAATTCAAGATACCGCAGTCCATCAAATCTTTGAACAGATACTAACATTACTTTGTATAAATAATACCCACGTAACTCAAAGATCTTTCAGTGATTTTTTTTCATCGACTACCCAAATTATTAAGAGATTAATACAGGGCATTATTCATTTCAGGGCCGATTATCACATTCTGGCACAACTATGACGTGTATTAATGTTTTAATACGCTTGGTAGATCTAATAGTAGCATTTTTCTAAAAAAAAATACTTTGAAATTTCCTTCGTTGAAGTTCCTGTCTGCATTTCTACTGTACAGTACAGTAACTTCTTCAGAGTTGTTTACTTTGTTTGTTCAAAGTACACTACTGTACAGTACTGTAGAATCTAGAAGCAAGTTTTATTTTCATTTTTTTTTGGAATGAATTTGTCGTATTATTTCTTTAAATTTCAATAGTTAAAAATCTGTGTTTGTACGAAATACGCTTCAGCAATCATAATAAAATCAAGCGATTCGTGCTAAAAACCTACTTTCACTTTAACAGTTAACTGTTTAATGACGTAATATATGACGTCATTGTTTCAGTTTGTGCACGTTCACATGTTCAGCGGGCTGATAACTAGTTCTCGGCCCCGGGCCGCAAACTCATAATAGGTCACGTGACACTCACAATCAGTTAAAATCATAGGCAATTTTGTTACTATATATAGTAACAAGTGTATTAAAACACAATAATTGACATGTTAGTCATCATGCTCCTGTCGAAGAAGTTTTTTAACAGCTACTATAGTAACATTTTCCTGAGTCAAATTTAAGGCTTTGTAGAATTAAGGTATGAATGTACGGTCTACCATCACCAGAACAAGTATTAACTTTATTTAGATAGAACTAAATGGTTCTCTGTATGATTTGGACCATGAAGTGTGTATACTCTCCCAGTACGTTTATCAGACTACACAATCCAAGACGTCACTGGTATATATGATTTTGTCTGAAAATCAACGAATATATCATGCATTTATATCCATTTTCAAAGTCCTAGATATATATATCTATGTTTTGAGCACCATGAACTAGATTAATTTTGAACAAAGCTTTTAAGCATTATTTTCAAAATGCTGACATAAAATAGACCGTTGTTATTTGAATGTACGAACAACGACGTTCATGGCATTACAATGCCTCCGGTCAAAATAGCATTAAGGTTATAGTTGTACGGCAGGATTATTATCATTTAAGAAATACATGTTGCATGGCGGGTGTATCTAAATGACTGCCTTTTACAAGCTTGTTCGTAAACAGAGATATACCTGCACGTTTTAATAAAGAAAACAGTTATATTTGG